TTTTTTTTTTTTTAATATATTTTGAGACAAAGTTTCACTGTGTAGTTCATGATAGCTTTGAACTCACTAGAGTGCTAGGATTATAGGTATGCACCACTACATTGAGCAAGCCATTTTAGCATTTTCTTTAAAGAACTGCAAATGACATCTGGTCTGCTTAGTCAGCAACTTTATTTGCATTATGGTAATCAAAGACCTGTGGAGAAGTGGCACAACCCACCTGACATGACAGTCATGTACTCACTACTACTGACTCAAGCCAGTGGAAACAATCAAATTCAAACCTGAGCCGCCCCGCAGCAAGCATACAAATTACAGCCCCAATTGGTACCACATGTGAGTTGACCATTTGTATGTGTAATTTCAATAAATTTCACTTTTTATAAGATCTGAACATATTTCATGGTATACATAAAAGACTAAGCCAGGTGTGGTAGTACAGGCCCATAATCCCAGCACTCAAGAGGCTAAGGCAGAAGGATCTCTGTGAGCTGAGACCAGCCTAGGCAACAAAGCGAATTCAAGGTCAACCTGGTCTGTATAGTGAAATCCCGTCACAAAAGACCAAAAAAAGGACTAATAATTACAAATATTTTATACACACATTGCATACCTTTCAATTTGACAACTGGAGGTTACGCAATTATTCTGTGGGTTTTTTTAAACTATCACAATTAAAAAAAAAAAAAAAAAAAAGGTTCCACAAATAAGCAGACCCCTAGTTTAAAGCCATGTTGTTCAAGAGTCAATTGTAAGGAAAAGTAAAACCACCTATTGATACACAATTATCAACAGATACATGGATATTAGCGCTCAGAGCAACTGAATAAATGAATTATCCTAGCACATAGCAGATACTTAAATAGCAACTGAATAGTCTAACACAAAGACTCAAAACTAGCTAAAACTACCTTTCTTTTTAGATGGAAAATAAAGGTGAAAATTATAGCAGACTCCTTTTGAATAACATTCTGCAGAGCCAAGGGTGACACTGTGTTCTTTACATTCTCAAGATCTTTCAAAGCACAGCACACTTTGTGGGGGAAGAACCAATTTTCTCTACAGAGATGAGACTAATACCTGCCTGATGAGCTAACAGCACTGAGTAAGATCATGGCCAGAAAAAACTCAGGGTTGTTCCGTGAATACTCATTCAATATACTTCCCTGTTCAGATTCAAATTCCTTTTACTTAGAAAATAAACTGAGGGGCCTGTCCATTAGCACAGTTCTTTAAGTGACTGCTTAAGCAGAGCAGTCAGGCTCAGGTTGTCATGGTTCAATCCCCAGATCCTCAAGCCACACTAGAAATGCCCTGAAGGCATCCTGAACCATTAAAAATAAATAAATAAAATAAACTGAGCAGGGGCAGAGAGAGAGCTCGGCTGTCTAAGCACTCACCTGGCAAATGCAAGAACCCAGGTTTGATCCCCAGTACCACATGCTGTGCTAAGCCAGACACCAAAACCAGACATGGTAGTGCACATCTATAATCCTAGCGCTGGGGAGGCTAAGACAGGAGGATCACTATGAATCTGAGCTGCGTAGTGAGACTCTGTATCAAATAAATAAATAAATGAAAATAAACTGAGTAACACTTTACTCTTTGTAAACAATGCTCAGAGGGCTGGTGAGATGGCTCAGTGGCCTAAAGCACCTACTTAGAACAAGCTTAACAAAGCACAGGGACCGCGGTTCAATCCCCCAGCACCACATGCCAGCCAGCCCCGCCCCCTGGTGGGCTGAGCTGGCCACACACACACACACACACACACACACACACATAAATAAATAAACAAAAAACAATGCTCAGAGGTGAACTTCTCAAACTAGTCACCTAAATACAATTCAGAACCAAGTTTGTAACGATAATCCCAATGAAATTTTACCTAGAAGAAAGATCTCTTGTCAGAAAAGATGCTTTTTGTCCTAAGTCCTTCATTAATTGTAAGTCATCTTCATCCATCATATCTAAAGGAAGAGCTTCCTCTTCTTCTTCTTTTTTCTCCTCTTTCTCCAACCTTTTAACTGCTCCACAAAAGGAAACACAAATTTAGACACTTAGAACTCTCCACACATGTTCACATTCAGCCTCAGTTTTTCTAACCCTTAGCCCACTGTTTCTTTTTTTTTTGCGGAACCGGGGATTGAACTCAGACCCTTACGCTTGCCAGGAAAGCGCTTATTCCACTGAGCCATCTCCCCGGCCCCAAGCCCACTGTTTCTAATGGGGAGTATCCCTAACATACTGGGCACAATACACTCATTCTTCATGGTACTGGGAAGCCAAGAGCTTTCACATATTCTGAGATGTCTCTTAGGGCGAGGGAGAACCAGTGACTTGGTCCCTTAGTATGTTTTATCTATAAAAACTTTTTCCTCCATTCTACTTCAGGTGTGCGCTCCAAGGGCCATGTCCCAAACCTTGGGCCTCATTCCACTGTAGGTACGTGCAACATTTTATCCTTCTAGCTCTCACTCAGTTACTTCCAACACATTTCATCATTAACAAAACATATAAATCTTCACTCCTTCAGCTACTCCGCTCCATCTACCAACCTGTTGTCTCCACTATCTCACTATGACAGCACAGTAACTATTTCAATCATTTTACAATATTTTCAAGTACTTTTTTTTCTATACTGAAGACACATACATCTAACAAAAATGTACTACAGATCATTTAATTTCCTTTTCTGCTCACTGTCTTGGTTGCTTGCTGTCTTTTGCTTTCTCTTTTTGATTACAAAAAACAAAAAACAAACAAACAAACAAAAAAAAAGAATGCCGGCTAAGTGCCAGAAACCTTATAAACGCGGAGAACTCAACTAGAAAAAAGACAATCTGAGTGAGGTCTCCGACAGAACTTAAATTCTTCCCAACAGCAGGAAAACTAGTATTCGTACATAAACATACACACTGCACAGAATCAAACTTCCATCTGCTTTAATGAGCATTTCATTTCTCAAACATACCAGCAATCAGTATGGTCAACCTTTGCTATTCCACAGCATATTTTTTTATCACACTTTTAATCTCATTGCCACTTTACATTCAGAGGACCTAGCTTCCTACTTTCATGAGCACAGAGGAACCATAAGCTAAAACTTTCTATCTCCTATATCAGATTAAACAGCACTTGCATCTATCTTTTCCCTATGCTCATCTATATTACAGTTCACTTAGATGCTGACCTATAATAAAGAAATCTTTTGCTTTTATTATGCAAGTATTAGCACATCATACTTTTGAAGTGTAGAACTTAAATGGAAGAGCTCTTTAAGAAGTGCCAACTCACCCAGTTCTTCTAAAGTATTTAGAGATTAAGTGACAAACCAAGTAAACATAACTAACAAGTAACAAAATTAAGAGAAAACCTCTTTCTGACCTCCAGTCTAATGACCTTTCATACCTGAGAAGTGGCCAAGGGATCCAACTGTCAGGATTGAATGAAATGAATGCTGTAAAGAGTGGTTATTGAGTAAACAAAGTCATATATGAATACCTTGAAAGTACCAGTAAAGTTGTAGCACTAGCAACTGAAAATGGTCACATTACTTTAGTTTTGAGAAGCAGGTGCTCTTACACAGCAGAACAAAATAATTTCAATGATTAACGGCTCAATTTTACTCCTAGTTTAGAAGTAAAAACAAATGCCAAAAATTTAGAAAGGAAATGCAGGGCCGTGGAGATAGCTCAGCAGTCTAAGCACCTACCTGCCTGGCAAGTGCCAGGACCCAGGTTGGATCCTCGGTATCACACGCCATGCTGGCCCTGCCCACCAAGACCAGATGTCATGGCGCAGCCTGTAATCCCAGCACTGGGGAGGCTGAAACAGGAGGATCACTATGAGTCTGACCTTTGTTGAGACTGTACTAAATACATATATTTTTTTTAAAAAAGTATTGAATTTATACTATCTAGTGAGTATATATAAAAATGCACCCAAATTTCCAATATCCACTGTTTTTTTAGTTTATGAAATCTAAAAAATGAAAAAAAAAATATATATACACACATACATATATGTATTTTGTCAGGCTGGCTTTGAACTCATTTTGTAGCCTAGCCTGGCCTCAAACGCAAGTGATTGTCCTGCCTCAGTCTCCCAAGTGCTGGGATTACTGGGATGTGCCACCACATACAGCCAATACATTCCTATATGAAATACAGTGAAAATGCCAATAGAACTCTACAACAAAAACAAACTTCACTTTAATTATCACATCCAAGGCACTCTTCACACATGACAACAGCATATTCCACACACAGGTACTGTGCACATTCACAGCAAGTGTATTTTGCTTTTGCGTCTTTTTTGCAGGACATGCCTGACATCTCACTGGTGCTGTGCCCGCCCTGCCCCGAGCGCACCAACTCAGCCACCAAGACTGGGCATGGTGGCGCATACCTGTAATCCCAGCACTGGGGAGGCTGCAACAGGAGGATCACTACCAGCCTAACTGTGTAGTGAAACCCTGTACCAAACACATAAAATTAAAAAAAAAAAAAAAAAAAAAGGCAATGCAACTTGGCAACACTATAAAGAGTACACCAGACAAACTCAGAGCTCCTTCCTAGCTCCATACCAGCGAGAGGAAGGCAGAAGCACTTGCAAAATACTCAACTGTTATTCACATCACTCCTGACAAAGTAAAACCAGAGGCTAGTATCTCTCACTCTTATACGATATACAAATGTTCCATACTGACCGCGACAACGCATCAATCCAGACTACTCTCCTTAACTACTGTCAGAAAGATCTGAGAACAGCAGCAGGGAATCCTAGAAAGCAGTCATTTTCATGAAGAACATTTCAGAATAATTCAATGGACACCAGGCCATGTGACTGCTCTCACAATTACCTGGTCGTATTTTCTTTGGGTCCTCCAACGGGATGGGATTTTTAGACACAGCATCTTTCACAGCTTGCCTTAGTTTCCTCTGTTCTTTTCGGTATTTCTTGAGAGAGCTTTGTTGTTTAAACTGCTTATTTTTCAGCTTGTTTTCAAGTTTGACTTTACTGGTTTTCAGTAACTTGCGAAAGCTTGGGACCTGTTTTTTATTTCTTCTCTACAAAACAATTACAAAAGGTGCAGAATTTCAATTACTTTCTTTTTGAAATCAGGTTGAAGAGAATTTTAAATTTCATCAGAAGTCAGACCAATTCCACTATTTTAATGCCCCACAGCCATGGACATCCCAGCATTCTGGAAGACTAAAGCCAGAGCTTCACAGTTGACCAGCACAGCCTGGGCAAATCAGCAATTTAGTGAGACCATTTCTCAGAACAATAAAGGGTTGAAGATGTACCTCAGCGCAAGGACCTTTCGTTCAATCAGAATAAAGCTAAATTATGAAAGTTATCCTACACATTGGCCTTATAGCATTAGCTGTGCCACCAGGGGCTTTCCTGGGACTAGACTCCATAGCCACTCATAAGGGTCTAACATCTTAAGAAAAGTGAACAACCTCTGGCTCTTCGTAAACGGTTCTTCCGGGATAGAGTCGCACCTGTAGTCTGGCTCTCCAGAATCGAACTCACGCCTTCGTCCTCGCCAGGCAGGCGCTGGGCCGCTGACCTACATCCCGGCGCCCCTCACCTGCAGCTGTAGCACATTCTGAAGACAAATGGCTACCGACCCACGCTCACACACTGCTCTGTCACTGACACAGGCTCCAACAGCCTGGTGAGTGCTATCCTCACATTTCTGACGAAGCAGCAGAGGAACAGCGAGAGCCTGTGCCAAAGACCCCTAAACTAAGAAAACCAAAACTGAATTCCGTGTGACCCTGCATTCAGAAATGCAAACCCCAGCACTACCTTAATTTTCTTTATTTTTATTTATTTATTGTGTGTGTGGTATGTGTGTGCGTGCGTGCGTGGCCAGCTCAGCCCACCAGGGGGCGGGCTGGCTGGCATGTGGTGCTGGGGGATTGAACCGCGGTCCCTGTGCTTTGCTAAGCTTGTTCGAAGTAGGTGCTTTAGACCACTGAGCCATCTCACCAGCCCCATTACCTTAATTTTCAACGGGCATTCAGGGCAACCCGGCTTGCCTATCTCGCCGTCCCGCAACCGGCCCAGGCTCAGGGCCGGCGACCACGGCATACGCCACCTCGAGGTACACCGGCGTCTCACCCGCACCGAAGCGTTCGCAACGCGCGCTCGAACCGCCCTCCAAGGCTGACATTATGGCCCAGCGCGGCCCCCGGAGGCCGCGAGAGCGCAGCGGGCGGCCAAGACGCCGGCCAGGCCCTGAAGGCCGACCTGCCCCCAGCCAGCAGGGCGCGTCTGGGCCCCCGCCCGGGTTCCAGGGGGAGAAGGCGAACCAGGTGGGGACCCCGGCAGGTAAGCAGCCCTTACGGCGCCGCAGCTGGACTCCGGCGGGTACTTACCGCCTTCATCCTCAGGCCTGAAGGAAATCCCGCGCTGACAAGTTCACCACGGGTAACAGTAATCCAGAAACGCGCTGGCTGACACACGTGCGGCCCCCGCCGCGCCTCCAGACCCGGAAGTGGCCCCAGGCCGCGCCACGGCGGAAGTAGGGGCGGGACTTCCG